TCTTTCATTGTTCAGAAACTGCATGCACATAGCTTGATTCCTGCAAAGAAAATATAATAAAACTAAGATATAATTAAATTACTATATGACATACTTTATACTAAATTATAAATACATCCCAAGTTTATGCATTCACATGTTCTGCAAAACAAAATCATATGGAATGTAATACAGTTCATATGTGAGAAACCTGCTGTTAAGTCAACTCACAGGATAATGAAAAACTTTTTTTTCCCTAGAAAAATGGAGGAGGGGATTCAACTCCTTTTCCCCTTTACCTAACACTGGAGTTGAGTATAGATTTGTACTTGCACAATCTTTTGACCACATTTCATTTTAGCTCCATTTCCCCTATGTTTTTTCTTTCCTTTCCTTTCCCTGCGTTTTCCCCTCTCATTGGGGGTACTGAAATTTTAAATGTTTTAACCTTGTAATGAAACTTCAAAATAGAAAATGGCACCACATCACACAAAATTACATTCTCAGAAAAATATAACATACCTTTGATATTGCCTCTGTCTTAGTTTCTCAAGTTCAAGTTGAACATCTTTTAGGGCTATTGATGATTTAACCATTGGAACTCCTTTAGCAAACTTCAGATTTGTACTGAGAATCTCCATTAGTGAACAATAAGGAGAAATAGCAGAGAAGAATAGAAAATAATGGATGGTAGAATTGTTTAGGATTATAAGAGTATTTATAGTGCAGATTATGTGGCTGGTTATGGAGCATTATTATTTGCAGAAATAAAGATTATTTTGCAGATTATGTGGATGGTTATAGAGAAATCTCGATGTACAATTGCAATTGTAGATTATGGCTGATTATGAATTTATTTATGGAGCAATTATAACGTAAAATAAGGTAAATTTATTAATAATTGATTCTATTGATTGATTATTGAGTATATATAAATCTGGACATAATACTTACGGTACTATAAATTAATTAGGTAAGATTGTATAGTAATTCATTTGGTAAGTTATGATTCACATGTAAATTAATTTCTATAATTAATCGGATATGAATAATATATAATTACTATACTTATTAATTATTAATTAAATAAATTTAGATATTACATAAATGACCCTAAGTTTTGGGGGGAAAATTTGGGAAGGAGGATTTTAGTTTTATATATATATAGATAAGAGTATTTATAGTGCAGATTATGTGGCTGGTTATGGAGCATTATTATTTGCAGAAATAAAGATTATTTTGCAGATTATGTGGATGGTTATAGAGAAATCTCGATGTACAATTGCAATTGTAGATTATGGTTGATTATGAATTTATTTATGGAGCAATTATAACGTAAAATAAGGTAAATTTATTAATAATTGATTCTATTGATTGATTATTGAGTATATATAAATCTGGACATAATACTTACGGTACTATAAATTAATTAGGTAAGATTGTATAGTAATTCATTTGGTAAGTTATGATTCACATGTAAATTAATTTCTATAATTAATCGGATATGAATAATATATAATTACTATACTTATTAATTATTAATTAAATAAATTTAGATATTACATAAATGACCCTAAGTTTTGGGGGGAAAATTTGGGAAGGAGGATTTTAGTTTTATATATATATAGATTTTTTGTTGATCACAGTATTATTATGGTATAATTATATTTTATCATTATCAACAAATCTATTTAAATGATTGTTCACGGGAGTCGCAAGAATTTTAGGGACGTCCTCGGGTAGAAAAATATCATGAACAACATCTTCATCCCATCGCCCATCCCTATTCAAAAGACCCTGCACCCGAGCCTCTCGTAAATATTCAGCACACGGGGTAATTAGTTGTATATTGGAGGAGCCGGCAAGCCAATTCCAGCCCCAGATCTTTGTGTTTTTACCGTCCCCCACACGCCGGGCAATGCCCAGTTGTAACACTTTTCTATCAGCTAGGATGCTCCGCCAAATGAAACTAGGATTCCCTCCCAACTGCGCCTCCATGAAATCCGACATAGGAAAATACTTTGTTTTCATAGTTCTACCCACTAAGGAATCAGGCTGAATTAACAATCTCCACCCCTGTTTGGCTAACAAAGCGATGTTAAACTCGTGCAATTTTTTAAAGCCAAGTCCACCTTTCATCTTCGGCGAACACATTCTCTCCCAGCTCAGCCAGTGTATCCCGCGATTCCCTGTATTCCCACCACCCCACCAGAAACGGTTGAACATTTTTTCTAAAGTGTCACATACTCTCAGTGGCAACAAAAAAACCGACATGGTAAAGATAGGTAGGGACTGTGCAATGCTCTTGAGAAGAACTTCTTTACCTGCACGGGATAGTAATTTATTCTGCCAGGCTCCCATTCTGGCTCGAACATTCTCCTCAATGTATCTGAAAACCGCCGTTTTGCTCCGTCTTAGTGCCGACGGGAGTCCTAGATAGAGTCCCAAATCCAACGCTTCGGGGACCCCGATAAGACCAGACACCAGGTTCCTGACTGTAATACTCGTGTTGTGGCTATACACCGCAGTTGACTTCTCATAATTGATTAACTGACCCTAGGCCATACTGTAGATATCTAAACAATCTTTGATTTTTGCCACCTCCCGCTCATTGGCCCTGAAAAATAGTAAGCTGTCATCAGCAAAAAACAGGTGAGTAATGGCCGGTGCTCCCCGCGCCACCCTCACCCCGTGGATATCCCCCCGAGCCTCCGCCTGTTGCAAAAGGATAGATAATCCCTCAGCACATATGATAAACAGGTATGGCGATAACGGGTCTCCTTGCCAGATACCCCGTGTAGGCCGAACCTGCCCCACGATCTCGCCATTAACAAGAATGGAATAATTCACGGAAGTAACGCACAACATAAGCAAGTCAACCCATTCTCTCTGAAAACCCAGTGCCTCCAACATTCCCTTCAAAAATGGCCACTCCATTTTATCGTACACCTTAGCCATATATAGCTTTAGCGCCGCCCATCCCTGACAACCCCCTGTTTTTCTTCGTAAGTAGTGGCCAATCTCACCGGCAAAGATAATATTATCCGTGAGAAGCCGGTTAGGGACGAAAACACTTTGTGATTGGGAAACAACATCGTCTAAACATCCCTTGAGTCTATTGGCAAGCATTTTGGCGAGTACTTTGTACACAACCTTACACAACGCTATCGGACGTAAATCCGCCACTCTTTCCGGGACAGGTTTCTTAGGGATAAGAACGATATTAGAATCGTTCAACCCCAATGGGAATTGTTTTTGTTCCACGCAACCGATGATGAACACAGACAAATCGTGTCCAAGTACTGGCCAGAAATGCTGGAAAAAAGCCGGTGACAAACCGTCCAGGCCAGGAGCCTTTTCCGGTTGCATGTCAAATAGGGCCGTTTTAACATCAGCCCCCGTAAACGGCCTAGACAGCGAGATTTGCATCTTCGCCGTCACCCGTCCACGAACTCGATCAAAAATATTAGCACTGCAAGTGCCGGAACAGAAAATTTACTCGAAATACCTGATTATCTCAGTCTTCATGGCCATTCCCTCCACCCAGTCACCATTGTGATCCTTGATACGAGAAATGAGATTCTGTCTTCAGCGAGCCGACGCCGACTTAATGAAAGTATTTGGTGTTAGCATCTCCGTGCGTCAACCAGAGTTGCTTTGACCTTTGCTTCCAAAACAGTTCCTCGCTTTCAGAGTTAACTCCAGGTCCCTCTCGGCTTTCAAAAATAATTCCACAGCAGCAGGTCTTCGATCCTCTTTTAATTGGGCGAGTGTCCGTCGAAGCTGATTGCTTCGAGCTCCAAAATTCCGGTGGTGTTCGCCGCCCCACTTTCCAAGCCGTTCACTACACACAGCTAACTGATCTGGGAAACTTAGCCCAATAGACATGCACCAGGCTGCGTCGACCACTTGCGTACAACCTGCCTCCAACAGCCAAGCTGATTCGAACCGAAACATTCGAATGGCCGCCCTTGTAGGTTCAGCATGAGTATCAATCAAGATTGCACAATGGTCGGAAGATAAAGTGTATATATGTCTGACCAAAACTCCCTCGTGCAAATCCCTCCAGCACAACGTTGCTATGGTTGGAATACTTGGTAAGCTTTTGGGGATAATAATTATCCGGCACTATTGACGACGGAACCGGTCTACACACATAGACATTAGGAAGTTGTAGGGTGCATGCATTTAGGTTGTTAGGATTTAAGGTTTAAAATTTCCTGGAATATAATTATGTAACTGCAGTTTTAACGGCCAACAACCATCTGACCTATTGCAACTCTAATGGCGAAGCACCTTAATAGTTTCTCCAATTCCTTCCTTATTATACCCTTGCTAAAGTGGTTTCCGCACTTATATCTACGAAATTAAATATTTCCATCATATAACTTTCATTTCTATTAGACTAAAGTCTGGCGGATAAGTCAATTGCATTATTAAGACTATGTATTTGAGTCAATTTATAACTTCTTATTCTGGTCATTGATTCTTTCTTGTATATATTTTCATTGTTTGTACTCATGATAATCATCTTATTCAATACAATTGATACAGTTTTCATCTGCATGACTCACGATTTATCTCTATACTCATTATCATAATTCTTGTACCTAATTGTCACCAGTTTAATTATTGTCAACAGTCTCCCTCAACTGAACCCTTCACATATGATTTGATTTCCTAGTGCGGGGTTTACCAAACAAGTCATCTGGGATAGTGGTTGTGGTTTGTTTTTGTTATCCAAAAGTTAATGAAATTTCTTGGCATGTACGCGCCCATGATGTTGGACTTGATGTTGCATGCTTATCTGAAAAGGTCAGCTGCGCTGTTCAATTACATTAATTTATTCAAAATTAGACAATTGGTTGGAAAACAATTCAAACTGTTGATAGGATGTTTCTTCTGCCTGCGGAAAATTCCGGGCGTATACTTTTATCATTTTCAGACTCGTCTTTCTATCACTATATGTCTATATATACAGCAGTGCCAATTAAGAGGCTCCGGCATACCCATCCAGTAAGTCCTCCGATCGACCACCTACGCCGCCGCCGCCGCATCATAGTATATTTGAGTAGTTTTGTGTATACTATATATATATATATATATTCCAAGAAATATAATGGATGGGAAGAAGGACATGGAAATACTGGATGCAACCGATGATGCATACGGAGGAGTTATTGTCGACGTGAGGAAGAACATGGATCCTGCCACCTTTCTTGCCTTGCTCAGAGCTTCAATATCGCGATGGAGACAACAAGTATATATCTTCTCTTTTTTCTTGTTTTATGTGTTTTTAACTTAGTTTGTTTGGAGGCAACTTCCCACGAACAGTACAGTTGACTTGATAATTACAAGATTCTAAATTTTGCTTTTTATGTCGTGCGATCAAGCTGTACGTCTATTGATTATGTTGGTTTAAAACAGTCACCTATATATGATCAAATCAGAACTTTGACTTGATAACTATTAAGATTTCAAATTCATTCAATTTTTCATGACAACTGTCTATTAATTAGTTTTATTTGTTCAAGTCGGTTTATGGTTAATCTCAATTAGTTTCTCTAGATAATCTATATTTGTCTACATATATATAGAAGTGGGTTTCATTCAAAATACACATTTGGATTGGATAGATTTTAGATTTTGATGGAATGGGATAAATCTTGATTTAATTATATGAATGTTTGTTTAATTACTTAATTTGTAGGGGAAAAGGGGAGTTTGGCTGAAGCTTCCAATAGAACTTTCAAGCGTTGTGGATGGTGCAGTGAAGGAAGGATTTTGGTATCACCATGCAGAGGCAACGCACTTGATGATGGTGTATTGGATTCCAGAAACCACTCCCCACACCTTCCCTCCAAACGCTTCCCATCGAGTTGGCGTTGGCGCTTTTGCCATCAACCAAAAAGGACAGGTAGTAATTAACTAACTCGATCAACGTATGTACAAACAATATAATATAATGTTGGGTTATATATTCACCTTAATTAATTATGGGATATATAGCATGGTCTCTTTTAATTAATTTACCAGAGCTCATTATATTAATATAATTGTACTTATGTTCTGCAGATTCTGGTGGTGCAAGAAAATGGGGGCAAGTTTGCTGGCACTGGAATCTGGAAGATGCCCACCGGGGTTGTCGAGCAGGTGATTTTTATTTTTATTTTTTTTTAAAAAAAAACATATTGCATTGTTGATATCAAAATCTCTCAATTAGGAACATACTAATCTATCAATAATTAAATGTATTGGTTTACTTATATTACTATCCATCCCACTAGACAAATATACATAAAAGTTAGCGAGCATAAAAATGTTAAAATCTAACATTGTTATTAACTTGTCACATATAAATTAAATAAGATCATAATATGTAAATTAAAAGAAATACATACATGTATCGTGTATGTACGCATGCATGTAAACATACATACATATATATATATATATATATATATATATATATATATATATATATAAAATACAGTTACGTTGTTCTAATATTGTGGACATCGGACCTCTAGGGAGAAGATATATGTGCGGCCGCTGTTAGAGAAGTACAAGAAGAGACCGGAGTAAGTAGTTATAACTTAATTTACGGTAACAAAATTCGTATTTATTTAGGATTTATATTAGTTGTTGTGTATGTTATCAATATATTTGGTACGCTCACATTTTGATATATGTATATTTTTTTTCCTATTTTCTTCCCTTTAGATTGACACAGAATTCATAGAGCTCCTTACTTTCAGGTACACTTCAATTTAAATTTAAGAATCTAATAAATGTTATATGGGTAAACATAAACCAATTAATACGTTGTGATTTGAATTGGTTACAGGCAGAGCCACAACTCGTTCTTTGGCAAATCAGATTTGTTCTTTGTTTGCATGCTAAGGCCACTGTCCTTCACCATTAAGAAGCAAGATTGTGAGATCAAGGAAGCAAAGTGGATGGCTATGGAGGAATATGCATCGCAGCCATTTGTGCAGGAGCGTGAGATCTTCAACAGTGTTGCCAAGATTTGCTTGGCTAGGAAGGAGAATGCATATTCTGGTTTCTCTGCACTTCTCAACACCTCAGGCTTTTCCAATAAGAAATGTTATCTATACTGCAACTCTACCTATACCCCATCATACTCAAATTAAACTCAACCCTTAATCTATATTGTTTTCATATCATATGCAAGTAAAGTCAAATGTGATTTTATCACCTTAATTACCTCATATGTTCCTTGTTCCGCTAGAGCTTGTATTATTATTGATTATGGGGGGTCCAACTCTTACTCACAAAAGAAGAACTTTCTCATCCTCAAGAGCTGCTAACTTATCTTGAGGGTGTTCGAGTGTTTGATGTTCCTTTATCCTCAACCTCTTCTAAATAATCTCGTGAAAAATAATTTTGATTTTTCTCACTTAAAAGACTTTTTCGTGTGACGTAATTTATTCTCACTCTAGATGTACTATTTATATTCCAAATGATCGATAAACAACAACAACAACAACACAACATTATGTTTAAACTCCCCATTAATAATTGGGATAAGGTAGCTAGCCTACAAGGCTACATCTGTCACCTGTATTATTATGAAACATTTTGGCAGTTGGGAATTGGGAGCCACCATCCGGTTTGACCTGCTACTATTTTTTAATACTGAACAAAATTCGTAATTACTATTTGAATGTGTATTAAATAAATTTTGTTATATAATTATAATAGAATAAATCAATTTAAGTTATCATAACTGATATGCTTAAATCACAAAAATTAATAAATCGCTCACTGATTAAAAATTAAACTTATAACTTTGTAATTATTAACTTAATCACTTTGACTAATTTGACTGATGTTGTCCAAACCTCTCACTATTCTAACCAACCAAGCTAACAAAAACCATACAATCGAACTCATAATGACACACTTGTTGGCCCCCACTTGACACTTGCCTCTAATTAATCTTATTCCACAACTCAATCCAATCCAAAAACGACGAGTATGAAATTCATTTTACCGTAAGCTTCATTCTACGAACACTTACAAAATTTGTAAACAATTAAAATATACCTACTAATTTATCTTATCACAAAAATTTTAAAATAAATATCCACTAAGATAGACTAGCACAATATTCAAGATTAGAATTCAATCCTGATTGATTAACACCACTACTAATAAAGACTCTTTTAGAATTTATGCCCTCTTTAAAGAAATCTATCACCCTATATAAAAATGTTATTTTTATTATTTTTTTATATCACATGATTTATCTTATCACGAAGATTTTAAAATAGAAACAAACCCGTACAATCTTTAAAAATATAATTCAATCTTGATTGATTAAATTAAATGCTAGTATAATACGGGTCAACTTTTTCAAGACTAGAGATTAAAAACTTAATTTGTAGGAAAAAAAAAACCCCAAAAATACTTTTCCCATTTGCTAAAAAACTCTTCTTTAATTTTTTTCCTTTGCAAAAATGCACAAATATAATTGTTCTAATAGAAAATTTGGACGGTATAAATAGTTGTTCACTTGTTCTGTATCCACTCTCTCCATTTTAAAGCGCTTCTCTATACTGCTCTTTCCCGTTCCACGATTTCTTTCTCAATCTCTCCATATTCATCAAACCAAAAGGATTGCTCCGTTACAGTGGTTGCTCACGGCGCCGCCTCAAGCTTCTCCGGTCACGCGATTCTACTGTAAGTACTGTACTCACTCTCTGCACTTTTCATTTTTGTTCGTTAACAAAACGCGCGATTTAGTGTTCCCCTGGCAGTTATGCTATCCGCTCTGTAAACACCGGGAAGCAATAGCAGTGTTGAGCATATAATCATTGCAATCTAACTATCAGCTTAGGCTTTTAGTTGAGATGGAGCTTGCGATTGGAATCTGCGTTTAGCTTTGACTTCGCGCGTATTATACACATTAACATACCGCGCAAGAGTACAGTGGACGGTTACATTATGTGCAGTAGTGGAGCATGGATTGAAAATGTTTTGCTTCTGTGATGAGAATTTTAAAATTTATCGTTTTCTCTTTGTTTGGATGAATATGAATTGGATTAAATTTCAGAAATTTAGCACTAAGTTCCTTCGAATTTGACTGACAGAAACTATCCTCGTTCCTACACTCAAATTTTTAGTTGGGGATGGTTTAAACAGAGCGCAGATGGGTTAAGGTTTGCTCATACTTAATCAATCTTTAACTGTACCACTTATTACTAGTATGCTTTAAGTTCTTTAGAATTTATTTTGATTTTTTTTTGGGGTGGAAATATGTGTTGTTTTCTTGCAATTCCGTGATTCTTTGAATCATTTGGTAAAACTTTAGCACAGATCATATTAGAAATCTGATGGTGGGTTCAGAGATGTTGACTTAACCGATTGAAGCTCAAAACAATAAGATTGAATTCATGGAAATATAATTGCTTTTAGTTATTTTTGCCACTTCAGGAAGTAATTACTAGTGTTTCTTGGCTTCTTTTTGTAGGGAATATAGGCCTTTTCTCTGCCCATCATTATTTACATTGGTTGTACTTTGCAAGTATTTTTTTGACTTGCTTTTTTGACCAAAGACGAAACTTGAAGAGCATGTTCATAACCTATGTTGCTACGGAGTAATTTTTAAAACTTATTTTTTAGTAGTTTTCCTTAAGATTTCCATGGGTGCTTTATAACTTTGTCGGGTACTTTTAGCTTGCCAAATGATTGGCATAATAAGTTAAATACATGCCTGATAGATTTAGCCATTTAGGAAAGCCCGCCCATTAATTGGAGAAATTTGAGCCTGGCAATACTTTGCATCCCACTTAAACAAATTCTTAATTTATATACAATAAAGTTAGTTTGGTCTTAAAGTGAAGTTGAAAGATCAGATTGACAGCACCCATTGTCTTTCACTTGTCGAGTTCAAAACACTATTAAGTTTTTGGTTTTAAGTTGGAAGCCATTTGAATGGTGCTTCTGACTTCACAATTACTTTTGCTTCTATTAAAAATGCAATTTCTTGCCATGTATGTACCTGTGATTCGATGTTTCTTAGCTGAAAAGGTCAGCTGATCACAATTCATTCAAAAATAGACAAATCCATATTTGGAAGACGATTCAAACTGTTGATGTTTTCAATTCTGCTGGCAGTTTTGAATGCTAACATTTTAATTATTTAATTTATACACAATAGGAAAATCGCGTATATATTAAAAAGAAATTTTGTGTCACTCTCTCATTCTCAGAGTCTTTCTATCTGTATATATACAGCACAGCTTAAGAGCTCTGGCATACTGATCCAGTAAGTCCTCCGCCTAGCTACGCTGACACCGCGGCATCAATTTTATATTCCAAAAAATGGATGGGGAGAACACGGAAATACTGGAGGCAACTGATGATGCATACGGAGGAGTTATTGTTGACATGAAGAAGAAGATGGATTCTGCCACCTTTGTTGCTTTGCTAAGAGCTTCAATATCACAATGGAGACAAGAAGTACTATCACTTTGTTTTTTTTTGTTATGTATACTCCATCTTCTTTCATACGTTTATAACTTAGAATACGATTATATTACGGGATTCTAGATGGGATCAATCTTGTTTGACGAGCTAAACATTAATTGATTAGATGGAAGAGATAGGGATGGCTGAGGACACTATGTCCCCTGATCAATGATTGACTTATCAAGTGAGATTTGTCTTGTTGATTAGTTAAGAAAGACAACTTTATAGTCATTTTATTAATATAAAAGGCAAAAAAAGAATTAAGTAAATAAATAAAGTTAGCTTCTAGCACTGTCAAGTTTCAATTCATTGATATCTCCACCAAATATACTCTGGGTTTTATGAATGTTTGTTTACTTTGTAGGGGAAAAGGGGAGTTTGGTTGAAACTTCCAATAGAACTTTCAAGCGTTGTGGATGCTGCAGTGAAGGTAATATAACTGATGATCTCTGGCTATAATAATTAATATATATATCTCAACATGGTCTTTACAAATTTAAATACTGCAATATAGTTTATTTTAATTATATTATGTTTCTGGAAACTTAGTATTTATATATGTTGATGCATGCTGTAGGAAGGATTCTGGTATCACCATGCAGAGGCAACATACTTGATGATGGTATATTGGATTCCAGAAAGCACTCCCCACACTTTCCCTCCAAATGCTTCCCATCGAGTTGGCGTTGGCGCTTTTGTCATCAATCAGAGAGGAGAGGTAATTAACTAACCCAAAAAATGAGGAAAAGCTTCCAAACCATAAAATTTTTGAAAAAGAAAAGGAGGTAATTAATTAACTCAGAATGTATGTGGGGTATTCATACATGGTTGCTTGATCTTCTTATGGTACTGGAAAGTATATTTGAGATCATTAACATGCATGGAATTGAAGGGTTAGTTTCATGCATGCATTAATTATATTTATGTTGTGCAGATTCTGGTGGTGCAGGAAAATCAGGGCATGTTTGCAGGCACTGGAATCTGGAAGATGCCCACTGGGGTTGTCGAGGAGGTGATGAATTTAATTACTAGTTATTTGGACAGTTATATACACTGATACACACACATATATAACGTAGTATTAAAGCATGTGCTCCATTTTAACTAAAAGCCTAAATTGATAGTTGGATTGCATATTAATGGTTGTATGCTCAACATAGTGCACTTACTTTAATATTGTCATCTGAACTTTAGGGAGAAGATATATGGGCAGCTGCTGTTAGAGAAGTACAAGAAGAGACAGGAGTAAGCAATTATAACTTAATTTACAGCAACAAAATTCGGATTTATTTAAAGAAAAAAAAATTATTTAGAATTTATGTTATTTGTTGTGTATGTTATCAATATATTTGGTAAGCTCACATTTTGATACATATATTTCCTACATTCTCCGCTTTAGATTGACACAGAATTCGTAGAGCTCCTTACTTTCAGGTACACTTCAATTTAAATTCAAGAATAATAATCTAATAAATGTTATATGGGTAAACATAAACCGATTAATACGTTGTGATTTGAATTGGTTATAGGCAGAGCCACAACTCTTTCTTTGGCAAATCGGATTTGTTCTTTGTTTGCATGCTAAGGCCACTGTCCTTCACCATTAAGAAGCAAGATTGTGAGATCAAGGCAGCACAGTGGATGGCTATGGAGGAATACGCAGCACACCCATCTGTGCAGGAGTGTGAGATCTTCAACAGCGTTGCCAAGATTTGCTTGGCTAGGAAGGAGAATGCATATTCTGGTTTCTCTGCACTTCTCAACACCTCAGGCTTTTCCAATAATAAGTCTTGTCTATACTGCAGCTCTACCTATACCCCATCATAGTCAACTCTCAATCTATATATATGTTCATATAACATAATTATACAACCCAACTATCAATGTAACAAGTGCAAAGTTACAACTTACAACGAAAATGGTGTAAACTTTGGAGGGCAGTTATTTATGTTTTACATTATCAACATATGTTTTCCTATGACTTAATGGGTCATGATTGACAAGATTAAATTTCATATTTTTAAATTTTAAAAGTTTAATATATATTCCACAAATGAACCTCACAATTCAATGAATATAAAGCATATATCATCTATATATAAACCTTAATTAAAACAAATGAAGTCCATAACAAGTCACAAGTAAATTCATGTAAATATGTTGACAAGATCATTTAAACAGGTCATTAACGGATTAAACAAGCTAATTCGCTAAGACAAGTAAATTATCATATCAACTTGTTAATGTTTAATTTGTGTCAACTAAATACTAATTTATTAATTATTTTTGTATCCGGTATTAACGTATTAGGTTAAAATTTGTGTAAATCAACCCCTCTACGAAACTGCTCTAGGTGTAACCTGCCCCGGCAATGATTCTGGGTATTCTTAATCTTAACAAATACATTAATAATTGGATTAAGGTAGCCTACATTTGTCACTTGTATTAATAAAATCTGTTGGCTGTGGGAAGTGGGAACCACCATCATTTTAACCAACCAAACATAGCAGCATGAAGCATACATCTGAGCCCATAATGACAAACTTGTCAGCCCCCACGTCACACCGGCCTCTAATTAATATTTGTCTGAAAATGTTGAATCCCAACTTGAAGACGGTTCATATTCTGAATCGACAGAACATTTGAGAGGATGTAAATTACGGTGACTTAAAGATTCAAAATGACCAAATATCAACGAGCACAAGAGATGCGCTCACTTTAGACATAATACTGCCGAAGTTCAAACTCTAGTATTTTTTCTCAAATACGGTCTACTGAACCAGTGAGTTAAATCTGTGTAGACCATGTTCATTAATGCTACTAATAGTGAATGCTTGTCCGAAAATAGTGATCAAGTGGGTAGAGAATAATTAACGTACTTAAGTGTAATGAGTTTGATTTTTGTCAATACTTTTTTGGTTGAACCTGTCATACAAAGTAATTTTAGTATGATTTATTTACTATTACACAATAAGTCAAAAAAATAAAAATAAAAATAGTGAAGAAAAATAGAAATAGTGAAAGGCTCCTTTCATGCTCCCTAATCTGCAATTAATTTAATTTTTAAAAAATCTCAATCCAGTTTTTTAAAACTCATCATTCCTTCCCTGTTCCTCTATCCCGCTCTCTCTCCTTTCAGGTGGCCTTTTCCCGATTTCTCTCTCAATCTCTCCATAAAAATCAAAGCGTAAGGGTTTCTGTTAGAGACAGCGGCTGCTCTCACCGCCGCCTCCAGCTTCTACGGTCACTCGATCCTGCTGTAAGTTCTTCACCCTCTCTGCAATTATCATTTTTGTTCTGTAACAGAATCTGCGATTTAGTGTTCCCCTGGTAGTTACGACCCTAAAACCCCCAGCAGTACCAGTTTCACGACCGGAATTTGCATTTAGCACTGCGTATGCATGTATACATTTTCATACTGCGCAGCAGTGCAGTGAACGGAATGTTTTCCGAATCTAATTTGTAATGTTATGTGCATTAGTGGAGCATGCATTGAAATGGTTTGCTTCTGTTATGATATTGTTAAACTTTTGTCATTTTCTCTTAGTTTGGATGACTATAGTGTTGTACGAGTTGGAATTGAACTTTAGAAATTTAGCATGAAATGCCTTCCAATTTGACTGACAGAAACTATATCATCATTCATTCATTCCTAAACTCACAGTGGCACCGGCAATCAACAACAAGAGTCGAATCCACAGCAACGTTTGGTTGGCGATGGCTCAAACAGAGGGCAAATGGATTAAGGTTTGATCATACTTAATCTTTAACTGTACTCCTTAAGTGCTGATTGGGAGTATGCTTTAAATTCTTTAGAATTTATTTTGGTTATGTTTTTGGTGGAAATATGTGTTGTTTTCTTGGAATTCCATGATTGTTTGAATCTTTTGGTCAAACTATAGCACGGCTCCAATTACAGATCTGATGGCGGGTTCAGGCCATTGACTCAACCAATTGAAGCTCAAAACAATAAGATTGAATTTATAGAAATATAATTCCTTTTAGTTATTTTTTCCACTTCACAAAAATATTATTAATTATTTGTGGCTTCTTTTTGTAGGGAATATAAGCCTCTTCTCTGTCCATTATTATTTACATTGGTTATGTACTTTTGAAGTATTTTTTGACCTGCTTTTAGACCAAAGACAGAACTTGAAGACCATGTTCATAACCTCTGGTACTTTTTTGTTGTTGTTGCTTTATTATTACTTCTCCTTAAGATTTCTATGGGTGCTTAATAACATTGTTCAGAACTTTTAGCTTGCCAAATGATTGGCATAAGAAGTTAAAACCAGGCCTGATAGATTTAGGAAAGGAGAAATACGAGCCTGGCAGTATATTGCAACCCACTTAAGCAAATTCTCTTTGTATATATTAAGGATAATTTGGTCTTAAAGTAATGTTGAAAGATCAAATAGACAACGCCCATTATCTTTCACTTGTCGAGTTCAAAAACACTATTAAGTTTTTGGTTTTAAGTTGGAAGCCAATTGAATGATGCTTCTGACTTCACAAATACTTATTTAGTAATTAGTATAGAACCATTGATTGTTGTGGTGTATCCAATATTTACAGTTACAAGTCTCCATTTTGGAAATTAAGTTTGATAAGACGTTCTTTAGTATTCTTTTGATGCCTCTGTATATATCTTTCTTTGGAGTTTAGTTTACTTATATAAAGTGCTCTGCTTGATGTGGGCATTTTGTTTCCTAGATTTGTGGAGTTAAGTTGCTAACCAACCATCATCCAAAGAAATTTTTGCTGCTACATTTTACTAATACTTGCTCATGATCTGTGATGTACTTAATGCAGCTAGAACAGTCGGGCACTGGACCTGGGGCAAGAAGCTCGCACGCAATCACCATTGTAGGACTAAAAGTCTATGCCTTTGGTGGTGAGTTCACTCCACGTGTTCCCGTTGACAATAAGCTATATGTGTTTGATCTGAATGATCAAACGTGGTCTGTGGCTGAGGCCACCGGTGATGTCCCTCCCCCTCGTGTAGGTGTCACAATGGCAGCTATTGGTGAAACCATATATGTCTTCGGTGGGAGAGATGCTGAACACCAGGAGCTGAGTGAGCTCTATTCTTTTGACACATCTACGAACAAGTGGGCTCTATTGTCTAGCGGAGACAATGGACCTCCCAACCGGAGCTACCACTCAATGACAAGTGATGATCAGCACATATACGTCTTTGGTGGGTGTGGAGTGACTGGTCGTCTTAATGATCTCTGGGCTTACAATGTTGTTAGTAAAAAATGGAAGAAATTCCCCCTGCCTGGGGACAGTTGTAGAGGCAGAGGGGGACCTGGCCTCACTGTTGTCCTAGGAAAAATCTGGGTTGTTTATGGATTTGGCGGTTATGAGCTTGATGATGTACACTGCTTTGACCCAGTTGAAGAAAAGTGGGGTCAAGTCCAAACCAACGGCGAAAAACCAACTGCTCGCAGCGTCTTCTCAACGACTGGGATTGGAAAGTACATATTCATCTATGGTGGGGAAGTAGACCCTAGTGATTTAGGTCACCTTGGTGCTGGAAAATTTGCTGCTGAGGTTTATGCCCTCGACACTGAAACGCTAGTTTGGAAGCGCTGGGAAGCGACTGGAGATCATCCAGGGCCACGAGGATGGTGTGCTTTTGCAGGTGGACAGCGAGATGGACAAGAAGGCCTGCTGGTATATGGTGGTAATTCCCCTACCAATGATCGGCTTGGCGACATTTTCTTTTTCACTCCATCATGCTTTGAGCTTTAGTGGCCATTGGAAAATGATCTGTATATGATCTGCTGCATTGTGTGTACCCAAGTTGTCTTTTAATATGCCGTACTAATAAGTAATCTGAAATCATATGACAATCGTCTTTTTCTTTTTGGTTTTCGCCCTTATTTGAAATGTAAATATCTTCAGCAGCAGCATTTACATATGTGAATGTGGTTTGTGTCTGCTTTAATTTTTCGGTTATTATTTCTTTGAAGGAAAATGATGCCTATCCCTTATAACTCTTCTCTTCCTTAATTCCCGAAATGTGGCTTATAATCATGAAGTGGCCTAGTTACCTCGTCTTGGCACTCAAGTCGACAAATGATTGCATACTTGAACCAAGAAGACCAATAAGTCATTTCCGTTAAAAGAGTTGAATTGACTTAATATCCAATTTAGTCATTGACTATAGTTATTTTTTTTTTATTTAGTTCTAAACGACTTTTTGTACTTAATTAGGTCATCGACTTTAATAGTTTTACTCAATTGGGTCCTCAGCTGTTACAATCAATGACTAAATTGAGAAAAATCACTATAGTCGAAAACTAAATTGAGTAAAATCATTATAGTCGAAGTGAAATTACTACCTAATTGAGCACAAAAAATCGTTTAGGAATAAATTGGATATTAACTCGAATTGAATTTATACCTGAAGGGATAAATTGTAGAGAGTTTTAACAATATTTGATTTTATGCATTTATAAGGGAGTAATTTATAATTATCAAATAAAGATTCATACATTCATAAAATGTAATTACAAATTCAACAAGAAATTAATAAGGTGCAATTATTGTCTTGAGCATAAATAACAAACAAACCACTATTAATTCCACTCAAATCATTTTCAAAAACAAAAAAAAAAAAATTCCACTCAAATCTCCCCCTCTCTGTGTTTTTGTATGATCCATAATCATTTCAATATGCACTCCGTGGTATATTGATAGTGATAATCTAACGTGCGATAATATGCTCTTTTAAACAAATTAAATACAAGCACACAACAACGTCAAAATCAATGCCACCAACCACGCGCCACTTCTCCTCACGCCACCGTTGCGGTGACCGGCGGCCTGGTCCGACGGAACCCCGTCGTCGTCCGAGTTAGGTCCCGGCGCACCGCCGGATGACTCACTACCGGATTTGCCGGCGGCCTTAAACAACTCTCGTGGCAACAAAACCTTATCCACCTTGAAAACCGACAGCGGCTCCTCATCGTACATGGTTCCGGTGATCTTCGCCGTTACCACTTCGGTCTCCAACGTCACGTCTTCCCCGCTGTTTTGCACCGTGAAATCGTACTTGTTGGATCCGCCGGTGGCTAGAGTGTTCAGAACGCCGTTACCATTGGACCTAAACATCCCTAGATTCTGGTACGCCGGCACGCCGTGGTACAATAGAAGTGACATTTTCCCGTCTTTGCTCAGATTCTTGTACTTCGGCATGAAACCTTGGATTACCTGTAACAATTTTCCATATATTATATATTATTTATGTAACTATAATGGACTGACTCAATTTGTGATTTACTTAAAATTTATCACAATACTTTAAAATTTTAGACATTCAGTTTTATTTATCAGCTTATAAAAAGCTAATTTTATCAAATACTTTCAAGCATAACGACTCTTTTCAGCTCCTAGTTTATAGCTTTTCAGCTTTCAACTATCTTTTGAGCTAGATTTGCCAAACATAGCCTACATCATCTAATATTTAGAAGTGTATTATAGAAACAGATACTATATTGTAACAGAGTTACTAAGAATGATTTAAGTTTTATGTTTGTATATTTATATTTAATATTACCTTGTCGGTGGGACAAAACACGGTTAAACCGGTCTCGACGTTTAACGCGAAAGTTGCGTCAGCCCCCGTGCTGTCCAACAAGTCGGCGAACGCTTTGCAGCCTTGTTTAGCCATTAACGTGGTAATGTTTACGTCGGTGGGGCCGGACGCCGGAGCCTCGGCGTAGGAGGAGGAGAGGTGGTGGCTGATTTGAATGACGGAGATTTTGTACGGCTTTTCCAGAACGGATTTCACGAAAGTTGAGTCGAAGCGGCCGGTGTTGTCTTCCGGGGCGAAGCCGACCTTGCCGCCCTTGAGGGCGGTCATGTTGACGTAGCCGGAGGTTCCGGGAGCGTCGCCGGTGGCTTGGAACATGGTGGCGGTGAGGGTGGTGCCTTTGTTAAGGTGGTGGAGCTTCTTGGTGCCGAAGTAATCGGCGAGGACGTGGTAGGAGAGGATGTTCTTGATGGTGTAGAGGGAGTAGTGCTTGTCGAGGATGTCGTTCATGGCGGCGTTGTTCAGCACCAGCACCGTGATGGTCTGCCGGCGGTTGATCTCCGCCGCCAGATGCGTCAGAGTCAGGTAGCGGTTGAAGGTGGAGAAGTCGTCGTGTTTGGCCAGAATTTGGGTGATATTGAAGCCATACGCCGTGGAGAAGAGTAAGATGACGTACACATATAGTGATAAAACCACCGCCGCCGTCGCCGAAAACTTCATTTCTCCGGCGACAAAGAGAACAAAGGTTTCCTTTTCTCTTGGAGTTTATTGTCACAAAAATTGTAGGACTGTAGGGTTTATAAATTGGATTTTCTGTTCACCTGTCTTTTTAAATAAATCAATATTAATCATTTAATTTTGTAATGGTAATTAATCATTATTTTAATAAACGTGTATTATTTGATATTTTGATTTGGAACACCTGAGGACATAAGAAGCCTGCTTCTCAAGTTATTGAAGCACAAGTAGACAATACCATCTTTCTTAGAATTTGAACTCATGACCTTTTATTTGGTAGAATTATTTTGTGTCACTAGACCACAAAATCAGTGACAATTTCATACCAGTTAATCAATTTAATTAAAAAGTTTCATTATTCATTACAACTTATACCAAATTGATATATGAAGAAAAAAAAAAAGAACAGTTCATAAATATTCCATTTGATGAAAGTCAGACCTTGGCAGATGAGATGGAAGAATGTAGTTACAAATAGAATGACATAACAACTAACTCTACTACTAGCTCCGTATTTGATTAATTATTTTTTTAGCAATGTACATGTATTGCATATTAAGGATAATAATGGTACACAAGTAAATTTTTTTACTAATTCTTTTTTTTATGGGTGTATTCAATCCGGGACATAGTACAATCAATGCCCAAATTTTTTTACTAATTCTTTTTTTTTTTTATGGGTGTATTCAATCCGGGACATAGTACAATCAATGCCCAAATGGACTTAGTGCCTCAAATTAGGTGGCTGGTGAAGGAGAGTTAGGAGAGTGGGGGTATAGTGCCTCAAACAATATACGTGATTAGTTTGGTGGTACCACTTCCCTTTTATTTGTTGAGTTTGGCCTTTTTTGGGTAAGTCCGATCCAATGACATATTTTATCAATTTTACCATTTAATGTGACATTTATCATTATATATATTGTTAATGTAAAATTTACCCAATCTTTCACGTTAGGTTTAGTTTGACTTTTGATAAAAACATGAATAATTTGAATTGATTCTTAAGTTATACGCGTTAATTTACTTCTTGGATGTTAGTTTGGATATATTTATTATTGGCACACAATAGTCCCTTTGGTTGGTAGAATATATATATATATATATATATATATATATATATATATATGGGACAGTGTAGCATCAATATGCTTGGAAGTTGTAATATAGTGCCATCGTAACTGTCACAACTATATTATATAGACTATTTGGAGCATTTGACAACAAATGTTCAACGTACGTTTTGAGCTACAAAATATTTCATGCGAATTCAAAAGATTATATGGGATGAAATGAGTATAATACATTTATCATTCAGTTCATCCTTTTATAAATTTAAGACATATACATCTTGTGTTTGTATTTGTGACAAATTAAATATATTTTTTAAAATGCGCACAAATAAATACTTGAGTATGACTGTATGAGTGAGATTATGGAAACAATTACAATCGAGTTGGTCATGTAAATGATTTGGTAAGTACAAAGTTAGTTTAACTACCTATAAGTTGCTTATTAGCTTTCTTGATTTGAGTCGATTAATTAGAATTACTAGGCGGACTTCATTGATCAACTATAAGCAACTTATATTAGTTACTTCATTGTGTGTTTTTTTTTTTTTTTTTTGCTAACCTAAGCTTTACCAGTTCGCTATTGGCAACCTATGCTGATTTACATCATTATGGTCTTTTGTTGGTCAGAGTTACATAATGAATTACACCTAAAGTGCACATTCAAATAGTGGTTATAGATTTTCTCATAAATATAATCAAAGTATAAGTGATATTATAATTCACAAAATTATAAGTGAGATATAAGTTTATGGTAGGTTATTGATGGTGGGGGTTGCAACTAATGGAATTAATTAACCCACGTTGTTCAAATTAATCAAACTCAATAATTAAAGGAATAAAATGAGAAAAATGCATAAAGATAAATTATTGACTTTCGGGAATAATAAACCTTTTATTAAGGAAGTTTGCAAGAGTATTACCAATTATGCAATACTCCGTAATAAGACAAGGATAAAGATGATTTGCTTAGACAATGAATGACCTTTTTATTCTAAAGCCGCCCCCGTAACCACCTTATGCAAATCGGGCAGGCAGTTGTAAAGCATGGTCCAATAGCCCTCCAGCTCCGAGGCCAGACCTCGATCAATAGCCAACTCTCAGCCTCGACCCTAGCCTTGGGTGCCCGAGGCCGCAATCACCGAGCTCGGCCTCGAGGTCAACCTCGAAGGTCGACTTTGGCGCCTCAGGCCGGCCGATCTGAGTTTACTTAATTTATTACCTTAGATCAATTTACCTCGAACCCGCTCCCAATATATCCATCAACGACATATTTTTACAAAATTGGTTTGAACTTTCAATATTTCAAGATATTCATTTGGTGCATACATCGAAGAGAGGAACAGATGAATTACTATATACATCATATCACTACGGACAACAAAATAGGACATACAGATATATTGCGAGACGACTTAACAATATTATTCACACTCAATCACGCAAAACATTAGAATACTGGTATCATATCTTTTGAGGGCCTCAAGGGCCTGAGAACATACCCGTGGACTAAAGTCAATAGACACGTATATACAAACATTTACTCTAGGCCAATCAAATAGACAAGTATTTTCATAAAATAACTCAGGTATTTATTCTTAGGCCTAAGACCTTTTGGTCAAGCGACATAACTATGATACTTTTAAATGAGAAGTAACAGATTCGAAATTTCAGTAATAAAAATAGATCTACAATATACTAAAAATTAACTGGTATGTTTTATTAATAAAAATTTATGTTTTATCTTATAGTCAAAGTGATATTCTTCCAAAACAACAAATATTTAAAATCTCAACACAATGACACTACAAATATCTAAAAATTTTGAATTCATTTAACGAGAAACAAACCTCAATAGGTTCTACACACACACACTACACTAAAATTGAATTAACACAAAACTCAAACTTTACTTAACTACAACTAATTTATAAGGTAGATTAAGGTACTTAAAAAAAAAAAACAATTTCAAGTGATTTGTTTATAGCAAGACTTACTAAGTCTGAACCAACTCAAAACAGCACTTGCATGCCGTGCAAAACAATATAAAGAAAATCAAATTATTCCGAAATATAAATAAATGACACAAATTAAACAAAAACAAGTTTTATTATAATAATTATATACAAGCAAATAATAATGATGTGTCATAAATAACCAATGATGGATGAACATAAAGACTGACAATTTTTTTCCATTTTGGGAGGGAAAAATGTTCAATGGCATTGAAGAACTATGTTCTTCCAAATTAGGAAGAAAAAAAAAAAAAAAAAGTTATTTACCACAAAAATCTATAATGTAAGACTTCTCACAACTAGTTATGTTCTTCTAAAACTTGCAATTCTACATTAAATTATCAGCAACTGCAGAGTAGAAGTCTAGAAACTTTGTTACCAGGCACATACTTAAAATAGAAACATTAAATCATAATAGAAAGGCTCCCATGAAGCCATGAAACCTCTTCCCCATCCACACATTAAACAAGACAATAGCAGAGAAGAAAACCAGACAAACATATCCTGCAACATGAGACATAAAACTCCTTTTCTTAAAATCCCCAAACATATATTAATATCTTCGCACAAGTCTACTTCAACCCCTCTGCAATGGACAAATTCATTTGGGAGGTGTGACACAGACAGTTTATGAATCTTTTCCAGAAATAAAAGTTGCTTTTTTTTTTTTAATATAAGAAAGCCAATAAGAAGAGAATAGAAGAGGGCAAGGAATAATTAAAAGATAGAAGTTTTTTGGTGGCCTTACTTTAGCATTGAAGGTCACAACTTTTTGCTTCTTTCTATCTGTACATTAAAAATCATCACCATCATCACTCACCTTTCCGCAGATTACACATGCATCCCACTGAAATCTCCACTTTAAATATTTTTTTTTTTAAAAAAAAAGTATAGAAAATGGTGGCATGTTTATCTAACCTCCACTTGTCAATGAGTTCAAGAAAAGAGCATCACAGAAAAATCTGGAAAAGAGTAGTAGTCTACTGACTGAATGATTCATCATATGATTAACCCTATTGGCTTCCAAAAAAGCACCTTTTTCAGTTTTCTTCCACCTACCTCTGCCTCACGGCGGAACCGCCTCCGCCTCCGCCGCCGCCGATATCCATATGGTGGTATGATCCAGGAGGGTGGTACATCTGGCCTTGATTGTACATCATTGATCCCCCAACACCGCCGTACATTCCGGCAGAACTCGGGGCGCCGCCGTTGAATCCAGCGCCGTGACCGACTCCGCCGGCGGCGCCTCCTGCGGAGGCGCCGCCGCCGCTGCCGCCACTGCCGTCCTTCTCACCAGGGCGGCCCAGGGAGGTCTTCTCCCCCTCCAGCTCCCGGTACTTGGCCAGGTAAATCTTGAGCGGCTCGACGTACTCCTCGAAGCCGAGCGTGGTCATGGCCCAGAGAAGGTCGTCGCCGTTGATCGTCTTCCTCTTCTCTCGCTGGCACTTGTCGGAGGCCTCGCCGGTGATGAAGCTGATGAACTCCGACACGCACTCCTGCACCGTCTCCTTGGCGTCCTTGGAGATCTTCGCGTTCGCCGGCAGCGCCTTCTTCATGATCCTGCTCACGTTCGCTATCGGCAGGAACCTGTCCTGCTCCCTCGCCGAATCTCTGCCCCCGCCGCCGTTGTGCCCTCCAGAATCGTTGTCGGAATCCGCCATCCAAAATTACTTCAAGAATCAGGCGGGAAAAGGGCGGGGATTTTGTATTTATTCTGCTAGGGTTTGAAATAAGAGTCGCCGGAATTCCGAGAAGGTTGGGGGAATTGTCGCGGGGAGACGGGGAGAGAGGGGGGAGTAGAGCGGAGTGCAAGGTCCGTTGGATCGAGGGAGTAATATGGCATCGGAACTGACACGTGGGGGAATACCAGCCGTTTGTTTATTGATAAGAGAGGGAAGCGTGGAACGATGTGGAACGTCGATGGAGAGTGGGGTCGGGAGATCTGAAGGTTTGAGAAAGAGTCACGAGGTGAGTGTGGGGTATAGGGTACAGAATTACAGATGTAGGGAGCTCTTCTTTTGACTGTATGTTGAGAATCACTTTTTTTTTTTTTTTTTTTTTTTTAATAAAATATATACTAGTATAATAGTATTTCATTATCTCATTTTATGTGTTTGATTTAATTTATGAGACTTAATAATAAACTTAATATTATGAAAATGAAATAAAAATAATTTTAGTTAACATACAAAATATATATGTTTAGTACTAAACACAAAAAAATTAAATTTAAAAATAAATAAAAAATATTAAATAAAATAAATAAATAAATAAATAAAATTTATTTGACCAAATAATAGTAAATAAGACATGCAATAGCCAAAAAAAAAAAAGAATAGAGTGAGTAAAAGACTATTCTAAATAAAATAAATTTAAGAAAAATACAAATATTATTTGAATAAACGAAAAGTATATAACTTTTGTCATGTAATTTATATTGATGAATAGAAGTAAAATAAAAAAGAATATACAAACTTTTAGAATTAATGATCCATAAAGAGTATGTTGTAATTTTTTTAAAATAAAATGTCAACCAACTTTTAAAATAATGGAAATTTTTATGAATGGAATTTTAAGTGAATTTGAATTAAGCTTATAGTGATAAAATATCAAATTATATATGTATGCAAAAACCTTCCAAAATCCAAGAAAGGACTGTTGACTACAAAAGCCTAAACTGTCCAGACTCCAAATTAAACTACAAAAGCACAAGCCTGAATTTGTTAGTACTAACTTACCTCGATCAAAATTTGACCGGATTAATTTAATTTTGTAAATTATATATACGAGTGTAATATTAAGAATAAAGGAATGATATTTGGGAGAAGAATAAAGAAAAAGTGAATATGGTAATCATATTTTTCAGTGGTAATTGGATAATTGTGGCCGGTGGGTATGATTAATTGAGATTATGTTGTCATTTAGGGATTGGGAGATAATTGAGATATACGGATTGGATTTTCATAATTTTAAGATTGCCATTTATTAAGAGATTATGTTGTCATTTAGGGATGGGGAGATAATTGAGATTTACGGATTGGATTTTCATAATTTTAAGATTGCCATTTATTATTGTCTTCATTTAATGTGCAACCGTTATCTTAATTATCTTCCAACGTTACTTTGACCGAGTTAATTTAATGGATTTACTCTCCATATGTCTTTTGTGTCTTCACTATTATGGGACAGTCGTTATATGGTGGACCGCGGTGCATAATCGATTATGCACCGCGCATCAAAACGGCGTCGTTTCTTTAAGTAAAGAAACGGTGCGCTGTTAGTGTTAACAGAGTGACACTAATGTGTATCTAAACCGACACTGCCTCACATATTATTTTTATATTATCAAATGAAACTGCAATTATGTCAAAATTATACTGTAGTTGTGGTGAAATGAAACTGCAATATATAAAAAATGAAACTGAATAACATTTCACATATTTGAGTGTATATTGTACAATGAAGCTGTAATTATATCGAAATGATCATGTAGTTGTGTTTTAATGAAACTATAGTGTATATAAAATAAAATTAAATAACATTTTCACATATTTGAGTGTATAAATATTGAATGAAACTGTAGTTATATCGAAATGAAACTATAGTTGTGTTGAACTGAAACTGCAGTGTATACAAAATGAAACTGAAGAACATAGTTATTTTTTGCGGAAAGGGTGCAGAACGGCGCGAAACGAATTTCGTTTCTTTTCATTAAATAAAATGATGTCGTTTTGATGTGCGGTGCATAATCGATTATGCACCGCGGTGCAGGATATAATTTGCTGTTACGGGGGCTTTGGGCCATTTAGGCCTATACCTTTACGTATACTTGATTTGCATATCCTTGATGACATTTGTTATATCGTCGATCAGGGTTCACCTTGTAAGGTGGACCTTGATCCAAAATAATGTCGCTTTCAATATAGTACGGTTAACAATCATTTGTACTATTCACCATACACAATAACCATAATGCACATGTATTGTAATTTTTATGTACATTAAGCTTTATTTTTATGAAGATTTTGAACTTATTATAGAACCAATAGATATGATATACTTACAATTTAGTATTTACGTACATTAAGGTTTAGATTTATGAATATATAAAACAAATATTATTATAAATATACTACGTGGTGTATTAATTGACACCATTAATAACTTAATATAAAACGATGTCATTTTAGACGAAGTTCTATATATAATTTGCGCCTTGATGAGCTCGAAGGAGTTTTGGCTGCTACTAATAGCAGTTATGGTGGTGTGACCACTGGCGGACAGTGGGGCAGCTGCCCCAACTCCCCCACCCCATATATACAGTATATATATTAAATATACCAAAATTCAAATAAATGTTAATTTGTTAATTTGGCTTAGATAGTAAGGCTTTATTATTATCATATAATAATAATATATGAAATGGTTTGTTGTTCAAATCTTGTAGCAATAAATTTCTTTATTTTATTTTATTTTTTTTTTCAATAACATTATGACTTCTTCTCTTTTTATTTTTATTTTTTTTTATCTTAATGTATTTTGATTTTTTTTATCTTTAGTCGATAATATTTATAACTCGGTTTGTTTTTTTTTTTTTTTTCTTTTTTTGAATGCTACTGACTTTATCTCATGACCTCCTACATAAAAGAGGTCACTACATGTCATCTGAGAAAGTTTTATGGATCCCCTAAGCGGGACCGACTCAAATTTGTTTGATTTTGTTTGCTGTTTAAGGATCTCATTTTTTGTCCCTTTGTGACTTTCCCTTCGTAATTGACAAAAATTGAAGTACAGTGCCCCATCTCATCTCAGACTATCAGTACACCTAAGACCAGAGTACCATGGTACAACTATAAATTTTCTACCAATTTTGTACTATGGCAAAAAAAAATGTTTAATTTTTTTTTTTTTTTGAGAAATAAAAAAAAAAAAAAGTTTAATAGTAACTCGATTTCATATCTATGAAACTAATAATCAAATCTAGTGCATCTTTGACCAAAATACCAAAGAAAAATATGCTTCATACCAAGTATGAAAATTCTTAAGATGCTATACTACATGGACATAATTACACCTTTCTTTCTTTTTCAAAAGCAGAGATATATATGCGACTATTAGAACATTTGGGAGGATGTCTATTTTGAACATAATCCTCACATTATCGCTGCCGAGATTCGAACATTGATCTCTTCTTCAAATACTGTCTACATAAAATCTCATTATAAAATGGATTGGGGTCAACCATTTGGACCGTTATCGAATATCAGACCACCAATAACCAATAATCCATCAACAAATATACTTAATTAATAAGAACTTTTGTTTTCTATAAGTAAATGCTCAAGTAGTACACACAATATGCACTATCTATTAATAAACTATAAGTCCTTTTTCTTGGTTGCCCAAAGGTATCCCTCTAGCCGATAGTCAGAAGACTAATCCCTCGTTCCTACTGTCAGCACACTAAGTGGTAGGAGATTGGCCAAATGGTTTGCTCCATTCACATGGGTGGAAATCGAACCCGGCCTCCAACTTCATGCTTAAGGGACAAGGTGCTGAACCACCACGCCAACCAGGTTGGTTAACTTATTAGACTTTAATTACACACAAAAGTTAGCTTATTAGTGTAAATTCAACCCGAATCGATGTAAAAATGGGTCATCTATTTTTGTTGGTTCATAATTTTATTGGAATAGGTCACTAGACAGCCTTACAACTTAAAGTAACATGAAGTTTGAATGGCAGAGTCCAGAGGGAAGGTGATTAGAGCATGCATGCAATATTGTACTGTCCTATAATGACTGTAGTCTCTAATAACAAAAGGTGTGCCAACTGAAAGCTTACTTAGAGCATCCACATCAATGGTGAAAGAGGAGATAATGTCATATCTATTAACTTGGGTGGGGATAATAACAAATGTGGGGTGGGGTTATTTGTGAAAATAATTGTTCTGCAAATTCAAGCATAATGTCAGAAAAAAAGAAAAAAAAAAAAAGAAAGAACACTGGCTATGCGCGTTTGCGCACAGCCATGTCTACACGCGCCCGTGTCGCGCCTGACGCGGCAGATTTTTTATTATTATTATTTTTTAATTTTTGTTTTGTTATTTTTTTTTCTTTCTTTTTCTCTCCCTACCACATTCTCTTTCCTAATCACTCTTACATTATCTTCCAAATCTCTCCAACTAATGTGGATGCTCTTAGTAGTCACCCACTTCTTACTTTAATTTGCGTTATCTTTAAGTGAATAAATAACAATGCATGCAGACAAAACTATATCTTTTATATTCTAAACAGAATAAGAATTCAATCTCAAACCTTATGCTGGATCAAATACTTTATATGCTTGTTAGACTACAAGATCTGTTAATATTTTTTTTTGCATTAAACCCGTGAGCTCTATTAAAAAGAAAAAAAAAAGAAGTAATTAGTACTTTTAGCTAGATAACATGTTTTGTTGCCATCTAAGTGTAAATTATGACTAATGATATTAGGATCAAACGCTTACCACTACACTAAAAGTTAAATCTAGTAGTTAATGCACAACTTTAATTTCTAACACCTGCATAGCCTTAGCACAGGATATTGGACTCGATCCTCCAAGCCTCCGCCCAACAAATGTAATGTTCAAATCAGCAAAAACACAATGCGGTACATCAATATTAACTTGAAATTCAGGGGTAAAAACAAGTTTTTTTTTTTTTTTTTTTTTTTGAAACAGGGATAAAAACAAGTGTAGACTCGGAGAGTTTTTTTTTTTTTTTTTTTTTTTTTTTTTTTTTTTTTTCAATTTGATAGTGCAATATAATTGATTGTTTTCAAAATAGTTTAAGTGTTTATTTGACTCTTTTTCAATAAAATATAGTTAAAATGTGTGATCTAGATCATAAAGAGTAAGATGTGATTCAAGATTCACCAATAAGACTAGGTAGAAATTAAATACCAATAGACAAGAAGAAAAAGTGGGGTTGGGGCATAAAGAAGGGAAAATATATACAATAGATAGTGGGTTTGGAGTCTTTAAGTAAGGATTCTTTAATGTGGCTCAAGTAAAAAACAAAGACTCATATTTATTTACAATTGTACTGTGCTTCCATGGGTATCCGAAGTTTTTCCAAGATCAAGGTCAATGGATTGGATATAATAAAGCAACACACTAATGCTTTAACCACACAGATAGATGCACTAGGACTTTTAAAAAAACAAAAACCATTAATTAATAATATAATATTGAACAAATTAAAGTTAAGCACTAGAAAAATTTGAACAATATAATAATATATATGTTGCAGTAATTTAATGATAAAAGTCATGCCTCAATGATCTCATGAAATCTTGAGCACTTGATGGAGCCCATGGATATGTCAATCTCAATCATATTGTCTTCCTCATTAATGTCTGCAAACAAGTAGTCCACTGGGGAGCCATTCATGAGCTGCAGTTTGGGGCCTGCAGGTTTTTGAAGCCCAAGAAAATGGCCACTGGGAAGGGCTAGCTCAATCAAGCTTTCCTCATCAGAAATTGAGCAATCTGATGAACAGTGTGGGCTGTGCCCAGAATTGTTCCCTGATGATGAGAATGGCCAGTCTGCATCTGAATCTGAATCTGAATCTGAATCTTCTTCTTCACTCAAAGATGATGAATGGTCTGTCTTCTCCTCCACCATTAAAGCTTCATCTGCAACTTCTTCTTCTTCTGGTTTCTTCATGGTGGGTGCAGGCTTTTGCTTTGAGAATGCTAAAAAAATGGGTGTTATGAGGAGAAAAGCCAAAGATGTGATGGAAACAGACAAAACACCATGGCCTGAGAATATAGCAAATAACAAGGAGGGTGGGACAAGAACAACAGCAATCCAAGGTAGTACTGAGTTTCTGAGGAGATACATAGGAGAAGTAGCCATCTGATGATATGTGGTAGCCATGATTATGAAGGGAAAGGAAAAGAAAAGAAATGGCACACACAATCAGATTGGCCCAGCAAGGTAGAAAGAGTATTGGGTAATGGAAAAGAGAGAACTTTAGTTTAGTATCCACTTTCTGTACGTGGATTGAATTGAAGAATAAAGAACAATGACATGATGGTGAGTAATTAATGTGTAAAGGAATTGGATAAACCTTACTTAGCTTGCAGTATCAAAACCAAGAAACTGAAGAAGAAGAAGAAGAAGAAGGGAAATGATCTGAGGAGAGGAAAAAACCTGGTTTTGGGGGGTTTAAATGTGGGTTAAATTATTGAGAAATTTGTAAACTGGAGCTAACTAAGGTGTTGGATGGATGGGGTGTTTGTTGTGTTGTGTTTGTGTGAGATGTGGTGGATTCACATTTCCCAAAGCCAAAACCCTCTTTCACTGTTCCTAGAGAAATGGGTTATTTTTGTTTTCTAAAACCAATCGTCAGGTGGTCTTCTTGTGCTGAACCAAGTGATTCTCTTGGAGCCCTCAAAACCAAGCTGCATTCTTCTCTATCCACACTCACCTTGGGAAAACAAAGAAGCCATGTGCACATCTCTGAGCTCACCACATGGCATTTTCCTTCCTATTTTCTATGCAACACAAATTACTGCCTGCCTGCCCACTGCCATAGATGGACAGCTGAAAATGGGACTCTTTTTTAATTTGTACCACTACTTGTCAGCAATTAGCAAGCAAATCCAAGAAACACCATTAGCCACACACCCATGAGAAGTGAAAACTCTCGAGATTATAGTATAATATGATGTATCTTACATTGGTTATTGATGAGAATTTGATTTTTTGTTTTTGTTTTTGGGTGTAGCTAGATAGATTCTAGCTAGTCAGTAATATAATCAGTATTGTTTTCATTGTTTTCTAGCTTTTGATGTGTGTATAGTACCTCCTATCTATCTTTGGACAGCAGCATTTGACCTCTTAGCAAAGGCTGTACTCCTCAGAAACTATAAAATGTCTTTATTCATCCTTTCCTGGATGGTCTGATGAACATCAGACAAAGTTTTAGTGAAGGGCTCATACGTTCAACAAACTTTTGCTGTGGTGACATAAATCAAAATTTTACAATAATTAAATGGAAAAGTTTATCACGAGTCTCGAAACACGATGCTGACTCTACTTCACATGATCACCAAATTGTATATATCATAATGAAACACTATCTAGTTGTATGACTTGTATCACCCAATTCCTTTTATTTAAAAAAAAAAAAAAATTGTGATTAGTGTGTGCATTTTAGGTGAAATTTATTTTGTGACTTTAGCTAGTAAAGGACAACTAAGAAGTAAATTAACTTAAGTTGTTCACAGCTGATCGCCTCGATCAAATCAAGAATATCAATAGGTAGTTTCATGAGAAATCAGATTTAAAGTTTTGTGGTTACCAAGCTAATTATCCAAACAACTTGGCTAGGAGTTGCCTCAATATCGTCACCCAATTCCTACGTACTCACTATGCTTCTAACATCAGCCAGTACAATTAGATATATCACATTTAATTATATGGTATATTAGTACGTACGTACCAATAGTACCTGATACAACTATATACGCCATGTTTAGTTATACTTAATGCTATAGACACAAATGACAGCCAACATCGTAAAAAACTTCATTAACAGAATAACACTAACATTCTCGGATTAAATAGACTCTCTATAATAATATGACACGTTTAGGTTGAGCGAGAACTAATTAATCAAAACATGTAATATCTCAAATATTTTGTTTATTGATTAAATATGGATTGATGGATTTTTATTTTTATTTTTTTTTAATTTCTTCCATGGATGCATGTGTGCCGGGAAAGGTAAACTCAACTTTTTTTTTCTTAGATAACACCCCATACATGTTTGCAAGTGCGAAGCCCTCCAAAATGTCCTTTTTTCACCCACCATACATGTTGTTGAGGTAATTCAGAGGGCTTCAATATAATGGCATTCACCCACCGTGATTACACTTTTGCTTTTTCTCTTTTAAGGGTTTCTGCCTTTAATAATCACTTTTTGCATGCTTTTAACATGTGGGACATTATGTAATCCACACATAGCTCCATTTTCAACCTATACTAGCTCCAAGGAATGCGGCTAATTAAACCCTAACCCCAACTATAAACGTAACATATATAGGCTCCTTGTCTTTCTTGTATGTATAAATATAAGAACAGCCCGAACAGCTGGAGTATTTTGTTAGAAAAAAAAAAAAAAAAAAAAAAAAAAAAGATGAAAGTGTTGCACGCGCCTACTGAACACTACCGGTGCATGAAATGTGCACTATTTTTGTTTTTAATTTTTTTTTTTATAGGACTCACTTTACTCAAAAAAAGAAGAAGTTAATAATAATCTTTTCTCTGCGAGAACCTCTCTCTCCTCCCTTCTACATACTTTCTATTCACTCTACCTCACCCAAAAATCAATAAAAAATTTTGTTGGTCTTACTCTAACACTCATAGAGATATACTTAGTGTAAATGAGATTCTTATATAGAAATATTCAATCAGGACAATTAATTCGAAAAAAAATATCTAAAATGTTATAATTTGGGAGCGTCGGGCTTAGGTTTTATTTGAAAAGAAAAAATTAACGACAATTGATTTTACAAATTTATACAATATAATATAAAAAACTGCAGATCTGATGTGGTGCCAAATTGTTTGATGCCCATTGGCCTGGCGAGTTGCTAGACTAGCTAGCTAGATAGATAGATAGAGTAGGGACCAGCCCTCGACATCCTAAATAGATCAAAATCAAATGTTGTTCAAAACATAAATTAAAGATTCAGAAATCAAGGCAAAAAATATATATATACATTATTTCAACTTGTGTTTGGTCCCATGCATACGTAAAGTATTCCAACAAAAAGCTACTCCATTAACATTAATAAATCTTAGGTCATCCCGTAACGAATGGCATATCAAAATTTGATATAAATTAATCTCATTTTAAGTAACATGAAAAATTCACTACTGTAAATTATGAAATTTCCGACCACCTGAAAATGATCTTAAATTAAGTTGATACTAAAAAGTTCAAAAAGTGGTCGGAAATAGCAACAAAGGTTTTTCCGGATACTAAAAGTGGTCGGAAAAAGACTTTCGACTTGATTTAAGTTCATTTTCAGGTGGTCGGAAATTCCATAATTTTCAGTAGTGATTTAAAAACACAAGTCATTAACATCTAGCAGAGTTATATTACATTTACTTTTTTTTTTTCTTTTTTACTTTCTATTGATATAAAAAAGAAATATATATATATATATATATATATATATATATATATATATATATATATATACCCCGTATTACATTTCTGCAAAAACACTTATATGAGATACATAATACACATAAACTCTTAGAGCGCACAATGCATTGTGCACCATGATGCACGATATAATCTGCCAACTATTAGCAATTTAACATATAGGTTGTTTTTTAATTAAGGTTTATTTTAAATTATATTGTATCCTTCCTTATTCTTTGCTATTTGTAGGCAAAAAGTTATAGTGCATAAATGTCAATGGTCCACACAAGTTGTGTGGACTATATTTTGTATACTATAAAATAATGTACATTTAGTACAAAAATAATGTACATTATATTCTGAGGATGTACATTTTTTGTGTACTGAGTGCACATTATATTTTATAATGTACATTCAGTACAAAAATAATGTGCATTTTGTTATGGTCCATACAGCATTTTGTGGACCGTAGTCCACACAATAATTTGCCCATAACTGTTGGGTAAGCTAGTAGCCCAATTCTCTCAGTTCAGCAAGCCTGTTCAACCAAATGGTGCAAAACCCATTGGGCTGATAAAAGGGAATAGTGCCATTGTCAATAAATTCTGTGACAACTTTAACTACACCTGTAAAGAATAACAATAGTTATGACGTGCAACCGAATGTACCATGCGCATGGTGCATACGACGCAAAACGATGTCGTTTTGACTAAAAATGCGCGTCTCACTTTAAAAAAAAAAATATTCAGGTTCGATTCTCGGCAATAGCATTATTGTGGATATATAGTTATGAATTTCTGGATATATAATTATAAATTTGTGGATATATAGTTATGAATTTATGGATATTTAGTTCATTCATTGTGGATATTTAGTTCATTCATGGTAGATATTTACTTCATTCATTCACTGTGGATATATAGTTATGAATTTCTGGATATATAATTATGAATTTATGGATATTTAGTTCAATCATTGTGGATATTTAGTTCATTCATTGTGGATTTTTACTTCATTCATTCATTCATTGTGGATTTTTACTTCATTCATTCATTCATTGTGGATTTTTACTTAATTCATTCACTGTGGATATATAGTTATAAATTTGTGGATATATAGTTATGAATTTCTGGATATATAGTTATGAATTTCTGGATATATAAAAATGCTATTGCCGGGAATCGAACCTGATTTCATCTTTAAGTGGGACGCGCGTTTTTTTTAACCAAAACGGCGCCGTTTTACAATCGTATGCACCTTGCAAGGTGCATTCGGTTGCACAACATAATTTGCGAAAGAATAATACCTTAGTTTATTTATTTATTTATTTTTGGAATGGCGACGGAAAGTTCCAGCTACTATTTGAGTGTGTATATTGGGTAAACTATGTCTTGTGAGTCTAAGTGACAAAGAACCACAATGAGATAAATCAATTTATATTATCTATAGTTGATTGGCTCAAACCAAGAAAATGTCAATAGACTACTTCGACAGAGAAATTTTATTGAGAATTTTAAGAGCTTGATAGAACAAGAGTGGAGATACCTTACGGGGTCACACTACCTTTTATAGCCTAAAAATTTGAAGAAGTAATATTCTAGGCATGGAAATAAACGGTGAAGCTGACAAACTGAATAATTAATGTGTATTAATTAAATAAATTAAATAAATATAGATCGAGCAAGGGGAAGATAGTCCAATCTCTCTTAATTAGCCCCTTGGATTAAGTTCATCTCCATAGTCATGGCTCTAATAATTAATTAACTAAAAATGTCAACATCTGAACTTAGAAATAGATTAATTATGATCAGATGGTCTAGAAATAATGCTGGGTTGCACTAAATGGCCTGGGTTACATCTTGATTGAAACTTTTCAATTAACTCATGACATATACCAACTCCATTTGACTTTTAATAATAGACTTACTTGCATTTCAATGTCGTTTTTTGGCACCAAATTAATCATCATTTAAAAAAAAAAAAAATTCCCCCATATTCTACCCTTAATTGAAGACAAAATTGAAGATGATGTACAACTGTACTGTTTGCTACTATGA